CCTGTTCGACTATCAGAATGTTTTCAGGTAGTCTGATTTTTTCCATGCCTTTAAGATCAGGATTTCTTCAGTAGCATTTAGAGGTGCTGCCATTTGCTCATAGCAGAATCAAAACTAAAATTGTTCCTATTGTGTATATATGTATTAAGTAAAAACAATTCTAAAGCTAAAGTCTTATGCAAAATGTATTACATCAGGAGAAGCTCAGTTTTGAAACATTATTGGTTATTAGTGTGATCTGCAGAACTGTGTGTGCTGGGGACAAGTTGTGGGGTTTCCTGGTTTTTGTTTAAGGTTAGTGAAAGTGAATTATTGTAATTAACTGTCAAGTATCTCCACCATAACTGGCAGATAATCAGTTATTTTGGTCATAAGTTGGATAACTGAAATAACTACATGTTTCTGAGCTCACAATGAGATCAAGCCCCTTAAAAATGTCTCTCTTGCAAATTGCATATCGAACTTTTGACTTAGATTATTAGCTTAGATAGTTTATACTTCCGATTTACATAATTGGTTTATAGTTTCTTCTCCCCACTAAGATGGCTTAACAGAGGTTTGTCACTGGGTTCAGCTAAACTATTGAAATGAAAATGTTTTCTTGTTACAGAAGACATTTTTTGGAGGAAGAGTTTGAAGGCTTCTTCTTTATGCATATTTATTTATTTATTTATTCATATTCATTAAAGAATTTCTTCTTGGGAGTAAACAATTAAATGCTAAAGTAAAATACCTAAAAATTAATCAAACAATATCATGCTCACACTTATTTGATGTGTTATTAGCTAATACATACCCTTCTGTTGTAAGAAAACCACATTCCAGATGAAATTTAATTCAAAGATAGATATTATATAACAATAATTCTCAAAGCACAAACTATAACTCATACTACTATTATTAGCAACCCTTAAACAAGTAAAGCAGTCATAAGCCTGCTTTAACACTTCTGTATCATGATATTTTTAGGCCTTTATAGCAAAGCAGCTTTTATAAATAATTGCTAGTTGCATATGCCAGTCATGTAGCATTAGAAAACTCAGTTATTTTCCTATGACAGTGTGAGGGAGCTAGACTAAGACTGTAGAGAACTGAACAGATAAGACCTTCTGTAAGGTGTCTGTACGGTGTGCTGGTTAACCTGTACTGCTGTACCTGCTACAGTCGATTGGGTTAGTGTTCAGATAAGTTTGCTGCTTTTGATTACCTTTTATTCCCCCCCCTGCCCCAAATTACTGTGATATTTCTCCTGGTAAGGAAGCAGAAAAGTATCTTGTAGTTTGCATCAGTTGTACATGTACTTTGAAATTATTTTATCAAATCTATATTTTGCCCAGTTTGCTTACAAGGAAGTTATGCAGGCTGTAATATGCCTTAGTTATATCACAACTCTGCACTATAGCAGAACCTGCTACTCTAATGCAGAGAAAAACTAAGCAAGTTTTTTCTGCTCTGGTATTGGTGTCTGCACGCTTGATGCTGGATGTTGCAGTATGTTCTCAGTGTAATTTGACATTTGTTGAAATTAAAGTTGGGCTGGCTGCTATTTAATTTCCTGGATTCTACTCTCCTCCTTCTCTTCCTCTTGAGATTGGCATCATTTCACCTACTTTCAATTTTTTGGGACTTTACCTGTTCTCCATAGGTACTCAAAGGGAATCTCTGACAAGAGAAATTGTCTTACAGGTTTTCTTAAATTACTGGAAGGGTTAACAAGTCCAGTCCACTGCAAAACATCTGATTTCTTTAAATAGTCTGTAGCCTTTTTTTCCTGCTCCAGCCTGAATGTTTTGCTCCTTATTGCTGCTTTCAGTCATTTGATAATTTATGTTAATGAAGGCTGGAGGAAAAAAAACATGCATCACTGAAACCCTTTCAGAATGATCTTGTGCTTTTCTTGGGGACTGGCACACTGGCTGTTTCCTTGGGTTTCCTTTTTCTATCAACATGCTTTTGCAGTGCCTGCTTTTTAGAACAGGTCAGGAGAATGAAATGCTGATACTGTGTTTGACCAGCATTTTTGAACCAGAGCTTGACTCCCTGGTTGAACCCAGGCATGTGTTTGATTTAGCCAGTTGCCTCATATCCATTATGTGTCTTCAGGTGCTACACAATTTTGGCATTTAAAAGGTTCTCAAGATATTTACCTTCATGGGAAGCAGGCAGGTAGAAAAAAATACTCTTAAATACTCTTCCCCCAGCTCTGTGGCTCACTGTCTCAAGATTAGAGAATTGGTTGATGGGCTGTGGGTTTGGGTTATTATTATGTGTAAACATTTCAAAGCTTCTCATTATTTTGATTTTGGTTTTTTGAGAATTACATGAAGTAAAAAAGAGAAGGCAGACAAAGAGTGGATTTTGATAGTTAATCAATTATGTCTTTGGCTCAGTTAATAGCGTTAAAGAATGGACCATTATGCCTAGGTGATTAGGTGTTATTGCCTGTGTGCACTGTACATGTGGATGTGCTGAGTGGGTATCTTCAGAGCTGCCTGAAAGAGGTTACATGAGTTTTAGTAAATATCCAGGCCTTTTGGCTTTCTTATCCATTCTGATAGAGTCAGCAGAATGCAAACTTCACAGTATTGTGAATTGTCTGGCCAGTTGAATTACAGATTTACCTGGATGAATGTGAACACAGATCAGAGCAAAGAAAATTCATTTTTCAAGTAACGTAGTGATGCAGCTGGGCTTTGTAATCATTCCCATGCTCAGTGCAACTGTATCTGATGGCATTTACAATAAGCTTCTTTTAGAAGTTTTGTCTTCTGCTCATTGATCTATTTCTGTGAGATCTTTTAGTGCTACAAATGATGTGCTGATGGTATTGCTCATTCAGCAGTCTGTTTTTAACGTCAGAATTTCTTGAGGATCCTTCAAGGCTCCCTGCTCTGTCTGCTTTCTGCTTCCGTAACCGATTACAGATTTATTTATTTATTTATTTAAGTTTAAAGATACTTTCTTCCTGCTCTTTGTTGCATCTGCTGTAGCCCATTTATATGTTTGCATTTGACGTCTTCAGGAGATGCAGAACTGAAAGAGCTTTTCTGAGTTAGCAAATCCAGCTCCCTGTTGCCTTGGGCTGTCACATCACAGGAGGCAACTGTCAACTAAAATCCAAGATAGTTAAAGTGGAACTTGTTATCTTTTTGTTCCTCTACACCTCAAACCATTTTTAATAGCTTAGACACTGCTATCTTCCTGGTTGTCTTATGTTCGTAATGGCACTTTTGGATTGACTTCCATCCAAGCAGTAAACATACTCTGGTGCTGCTTTGTCTACAGCAGCAAAGTTTTGATCTTTCTGCTCATTCTATATCACTTAAATTCTCACCAAGCCTTTACACATTTTGACATAATCAATTTTTTGCCTGTCCTGCCTTAATTGCTGCAATGTAACCACAATGGGTCTGTCAAGTACTTTACTCCCAGAATAACCTCCCTGTTGTTTTTCCTCTTTTCATCTGATGATCTGTGCAGTACTTTTTCTCTTGGCTTTCCAAGACCTACAATGCATATTCTGCCTTGTCTCAATCCTAGTATTTAGAATGAGTTAGACTACCAATTAGTCCCATCAGTGTTTCTAGTGCTCACTGCTCTCCTTTTCTTCTTAGGCAAAACTGTCTGAAAAACATGTGCATAGCAATTATTCTGTTTCATGTCACTCCTTACAGGCTTCTGCTGTGAAGCCTGGAAGACTGTTGTGGTCAGCTTGAGTATATTTTTCTTCCTCCTTCTCCTGATTCTTTACTGCAGTTTCCTCTCAATTTATTTCCATCTCCAATTGGAGAAAAATCAAACCAAACTGCAAAGCTGTGTTATTTATTATAATGTTTTTTACTTCATCTTTGTCCTGTTTTACAGCAGTCTAATAGTGATACTAATTTATTTTTTGAGTCCAACTGTGTTATGTTTTAAGCATTATTTGTTGTCATGTTGTTTGTGCATTCATATGTTGCTTTACAGCAGACACATTGTGCACCTCATCTTGCTTTTGAAGAAATTATTTTTACCATTACATTTTAACTGTGTTATTGCCTAAATTTATTTTCATTCCATAAAAACAGGCTGATTTGTTGTAGCATCTGTGTGGCCACAGAGTTTCTATCCCAGGGTCATGGAAGGCTCTTACTTAAGAAATCAGTGCCATATCATATCTACCTTCTTTACCTGTTTCAGGTTCTATTTCACCTTTGCTTTGTACCATTTCTTATATTTTTGTAGCTTACAGTGTAAGCAGTAGGAATGGTATGAGTAATTACTCTAAAGCCAGAACTGGTTTTATGTTTTCATGTCCTGATATGGTTTTGGCACATAGCTAAGCTTCAGAGGGTGTCCATTTATATACCTACTTAGACCAATACAATAGCTCTGTGAATTTCTTCCTTCTGTGATGCCACTTCTAGCTGTAACTTGTGCTCACATTCCTCAAATGTAGAGGTGGGGTTTTTCCCCTTACCCCCCTTTTTTTCCTCACCTCTTTTTTAAAAAAAAGTTTTGTAACAGGGCACTGGTGTAATCTGTTTTTTATTATAGTTTCTTTTCCTACGCTGTGAATATTTCCTTGCTTTAGACAGTCGAGGTGTCTGAAGGCTAGAAGTTTTAATCGAATGATAACTTGTTTGAAAACATCATTTGTAATTTACCTAAGTTAGCTGCAGCTCATGTAAGCAGTAAAGCCCATGCATGAGTAATATTTCTTTGATTTGTCTCCTTACTTTGTTCCTGTCAGATTGAAGAGACTCCAAAGGGGAGAAGTCAATCTCTCAGTAGGCAGCTGGGCTACAGCCTGTATGGGCTACATACGTCCCCCCCCGACCTGTTTGAACACCACACTGTTCAAATAGAAAACTCTATGGTCGTCCGTCGATTCAGGCTTGATTTTAATCGCACCTTAGAATTAGAAAAATTCCTTCATCTTACCTGTCATCTGAAACTGCTCAGCCGGAGCCATTCTTGCTGTTTTCATGGCTTTTCAGTTGTTTCATTCTTTGTTGTAGGATGTCTCTGCTGATCCCACAGGAAATCTCACAGCTGCTGAAGAGAGAAAGGAGAAGGTGCCAAGCCCACATCTCAGTCATCTCGTAGTTTTGACATCTGGCAATTCGCTGTATGGTTTGGCAGAGAGAGTGGTGGCCACGGAATCTTTGTGGGTTATTTACTGTACACTGTGTTTTGTGGTCGCTGGAAGCTATGGATTGTTTAAGAGATTGTGATTACAGGCCAAAACCTTCTTGAGAGGTCAAAAATTCCTGCTTCTCAATGTGATTTTAAATATGAGTGATAGAAGTAATTTCTTCATTAAAGATAGTGGGACCTAACCATCTGGTCTAACCACCTGCAAGTACATCCAATGAAATTTTACTGTAGCTGATCCAGTAACTTGTAACAGTACAAGGCCAAATCTAACAGGAAAAATCTTTAATTTTAAAGAGGCTAATGGGAGCATTTAATGTGTATGGTTCATTTAAACCTTACATTAAGTACTCAAATGCTGATGGCTGAGACATAAAACTGCTTAGTTCCTACTGGATTTGGCTTGGATTTACTAGACTTTGGATCAGATTTTTGCAGTGTATCCTGAGTAAATTAGAAATGTGAATTCTTGATATTCAAGATTTAGTCTCTTTATTCAAGCATTTTCTTGTTTGCAATCACATTTTAAAATTTCCAGAATTGAGAATACTTGTTGGTATGCTGGCTGCTGTTCTCAGGATTAAAATTTCCAAGGTTGCATATCATTATTACCAAATATGTCAACTGTAGAGTAAAAGTTGTACAGAGACATGCTGCATGTTGCATTTAGCTCACAGTGAATTTACTTTTCTTTCAAAGGGTATTTCTGGCTGAGCAGTTTGAGTTTCTTCAGCCTCATCTTGATGCAGTGATGCCAGCAGCCAAGAAGCCTTTTCTTCAGCAGTTCTATTCTCAGGTCAGAATTGTGTAATTCACAGCTGATTTGAAACTTGTACAATATGGTGCAAATACTTGTACATCATAGTTATATATTGCTCTTATTAGCCAGAAATTTACTTAATTGAATTTTATTTATATTCTATTTCAGACAGTGTCAACTGCCAGTGAACTACGTAAACCAGTTTATTGGATTGTTGCTGCTAAAGCCATTGATTATGAACAAATGCTGCTTCTCATGACTAATGTGAAATGGGATGTGAAGGAAATCATGTCACAACACAATATATATGTAGATGCTCTTTTAAAGGTGAATATTTTCTGGGAAATGGTGTGCTAGAGTTTATATAAACATTAAATTACTGTAGTACTTCACTAAAACTGTTAAAGTAGCATGGTTAGAACAATAGAGCTTCCTGACAAATGGTAAGTTATTATAAGGAGATCTGTCTAGAATTTTCATTACTGCTAGCAGATTGTTTTCAGTGCTGATTTTTTGACAACATGTTGCATGAAAGTGACCACAAAAGTTTAATGAGTTTTGTGTCTAAGTATTGAATGGTAGATAAATGTGTAGTAGACAGAGTAACATTGAGGAAAATCCAGTGGCCTTAAATAGCGCGCGATCATTATCAGTGCTCATTTGACCTATAGCCCTTAGGACACATCGCAAGACAACTGATAAAATTATACAGAACAGCAAAGAGCCTTTGTTAAAAAGCCACTATCTAATTGAAGTTACTGTATTGAGAAGCTAGCATTTGAAAAGGAAGCTAAAAGGGAAGTTATTCACCCAACTTCTCAATTGCATTCAGTAGAAGTGGTTATATAATTGCTGTGTCTCATGGTGTACAGAACCGGTTCTTGGGGGAATCTCTCTCTCATACTTTTATAGATGCCTAAATGATGTTTCTGAAGGTCTTTAGAAGGACATTCTGGCAGTGGTAGAATTATACTAATTCTTACAAAGAAACTGAAAATTTTATTTTTAAAAACTGTGAAGTATGTATCTCAGAAACAGTTGTGCATCTGTGTTGAGTAACAGTTTTGGTTACACCTTTGTACTTCGTAGCTGTTCTCTACTTAAAAAAAATCGGTGCAAAGAAGGGAGGATCTGATAGAGGATATATCGTTGCACTGATATTCGCTGAATCTTTGTGATTACCTGTCTATGCTGCCATGGCTGTTTGAAATCAGTTTGTACTTACAGCATCTGGTCTCTGCAGTAGAACTTTTTTCATTTATGAGTGTGCAACTTAAAATTTGATTCAGAACAATCAGGGCCAATACCATTTAAAACTGTTTCTGACCTCTACATTATGTAGCTAACAACAGTTGCTACAGAAGCTTTTTGATTACTGATAAGCTATTAGTGATTTCCTGTGTGCCCTGGGACTGCAGGAGTGTCAGATGTAAGCAGAATGTTTATTGTAATAACCAACTACTTACAGCCATGTACAAAATTGTGTACTCGGAGTATGTATGGAAGCTGATAAATTTGGGAAAGAGGATTTTTCAAGAATTTCATTAATATGGAGTGGTACACATCTTCATCTTCAGAAGACTGAGTTGTATGCCAGTTAAAGCATGGCATTGTGGTACTTTACTTCCTTCTATAGTACCCTTCTATGGCCTTCTATGATGCAGTTAGAGCATTGGTGGATAAGGGAAGAGCAACTGATGTCATCTACCTGGACTTTTGCAAGGTGTTTGACACTGTCCCACACAACATCCTTGTCTCTAAGTTGGAGAGGCATGGACTGGATGGATGGACCACTTGGTGGATAAGGAATTGTCTGGGTGATCATACTCAAAGAGTTGTAGTCAATGGGTCCATGTCCAAGTGGAGACTGGTGATGAGCAGCGTCCTTCAGGGGTCAGTATTGGGAGCGGCGTGGTTTAACATCTTTGTCAGAGACATGGACAGTGGGATCGAGTGCACCCTCAGCAAGTTTGCCGACGACACCAAGCTGTGTGGTGCGGTTGACACGCTGGAGGGACGGGATGCCATCCAGAGGGACCTTGACAGGCTTGAGAGGTGGGCCTGTGCTAACCTCATGAAGTTCAACAAGACCAAATGCAAGGTCCTGCACCTGGGTTGGGGCAATTTGAGGGATGAAGGCATTGAGAGCAACCCTGAGGAGAATAACTTGGGAGTACTGGTGCATGAAAGCTGAACATGAGCCAGCAATGTGCACCTGCAGCCCAGAAGGCCAATAACCGTATCCTGGGCTGCATCAAGAGAAGCGTGGCCAGCAGGTCGAGGGAGGTGTTTCTCGCCATCTACTCCGCTCTTGTAAGGCTCCACCTGGAGTACTGTGTCCAGTTATGGAGCCTGCAACATAAGAAAGACATGGACCTACTGGAGCCAATACAGAGGAAGGCCGCAAGCACCTCTCCTATGAGGACAGGCTGAGAGAGTTGGGGCTGTTCAGCCTGAAAAAGAGAAGGCTCCGGGGAGACCTTATAGCGGCCTTCCAGTACCTGAAGGGGGCCTACAAGAAAGCTGGGGAAGGATTTACTGGAAAAACTTACTAGATTAACAGCCTTGAAATGAGAGCACGTTGTTGGACAAATCTGGTCTTAATAGGCTGCAGTACAAACTGCTTTTGCTGGATGCACAGAGCAGTTCACTATCAAGGGCTGCTTTATATTTAAGTCATTTGATACTTTTTTTTTTTTAATTATAGAGGCATTAGTCTCACAGCAGACTTCTATTTCATTTTATGAAGTCACAAAATCATTGTAGCAGTAGTTACATTGTTATGACTAGTTTGTCACTTGTAGCAAAAGCTTGAATCCATCCAGGCCATTGATATTTTGGGTTGAAACAACCTTCCCTCAACGTGAATTGTTATCCCGGGCTGCAGTATGCTCCTAAACTGTTAGATTTGGATTCTCTTCAGTGGGTGCTCTCAGCTCCTTTTAAAGCACCAGGGGATTATCTAATGCAAAAAGTTGAGGAATGAAAAGTGATTACAATATTTCTCTTTGAAAGCTGATAAGGCAGGTATTTAGAGGTATAAAGAGATCATCACTGGATTTTTTTTCAGTGGCTGTATATTGACTTTCAAACATTTAAAGAAGAGTTTAATGACTGAGGCAATGAAAACGGCGTTTGAAGGATTAGCTACTTAGTTAATTTTTGGAGGTGTCAGTTTCACAGAGAACTACACCTCTGGGAAACAGAGCATTATTTCCTTTTAATTACTGAGGTAATGTTGTGAATGATATACTAGAAAGTGGTATGCTTTCTAGTTTACACATTAAGCTTGTATTTACAGTCTGTGCCTATTAAGCTTCTCTGCTTTGCTCTTAAGGATTCTCTTTAATGTGCATTTCTAGCTATTTGTTTTTGTTGTGTGGGACATATAGAGCATGATCCCTTTTGTGCTAAAGGAATAATGATCTGTCATGTTTCATCAGGAATTTGAAAAATTTAACAGAAGGTTGAACGAGGTGTCTAAGAGAGTCCGTATTCCACTGCCAGTCTCCAACATCCTTTGGGAGCACTGCATACGCTTGGCCAATAGAACTCTTGTGGAAGGGTATGTAGTTCATCAAGTACATGTGTCTGTAATGAAAACACGGAATGGAAACTTATTACAAGTACACTACAAACCTAGCTTTTGTGCTTTTAGGGAGCCTAAAAAATATGAAGGCTTAACATAGTCCTTAGTTGTTTCACAGAGTCTGGTACAGCATAAAGCCTAAAGGGGATGGTCTTGTACCTAGATACTGCTGAAGAATGACAATGACTATTTTCTTGAAGCATTTGAAACAACATAGTTCTCTTTCAAAGAAACCTCTATCTAAAAACTATCATTTCCCGACAGAGCAAAGAAGAAAGTTAAAGTGTAATTGTCATCTCTATGGGGATGCCATTTGTCTTTGCCAGGAAGAAGGATGGAGTTGTCAACCCTAGCAGTTATCTTTGAGTAGCCATGAAGTAGGATTTTTGCAGATTCATCAGGAACAGAGAGGTGTCTAAGTTGGCTGGGTCAGTAGAGGCTCGAGCACCTTAGTCAAGCGCTGCTACACCTTGTTCATCCCTTTTTCTTAATCAGTGTCCCACTCTTTTCAGAGTCAATATTGTAGCCTGAGTACTGTAGTATTTTCATCCACTGCATTTATTTTTGTGTTCTTGTCCCCTTGCTACATGTGTCTGGGCTCTCATCACAACTTCTGCATCATAGAATATGTACTGTCTTCCGCTCCTACACACATTTCCATATTTCTTTCCCAGTTATTTTTACCCTAAGCACTCCCCACTACGGATTTTACTTCTTTCCATCCCACTTTACTGCTGTCTGCTCTACTTTAGGACTTGAACAACATCCTTCTTCTCCAAGCTGTCTATTGAGGATCATCAGCTTCCACTGCTTCCATCAAGCCATCATTTTTAAACTCATAGCTGTTTCTTTTCATGCAATCATCCTTTTGCAGTCTCTTGAGAGATCAGTTTTATCTTCAGGGAGACCAAATGCAGCCATGACCTCCCTCTGGCTTCTCAGTTCCTTCATATGATGTATGACCTATACAACTAACTTTTAGTTTTGAAATTTTATTTTCCACTTATGCCTCAAATCAAAAGGAGTGAAACAAAAGCATCTTTCTTCTCCTCCCTTTGCTCCCCTTTCTTTTCAGGTGGGTAACACTGTCAGTCACTATCAACCTCCTCTGCCTCAGCCCTTGTGCCTGTTTTGGGCTTGTTTCTTTTTTATTTCACAGTCTTACTCATCTTTTGTTACCTCAGCGTTCACAGACCACTCAATTCTTAGCTCTGAAGATTGTCACTCGTATGTCTTGCTCCAGTTTTGGTTCATACCATGAAACTTTCACCTTTTACTTTCATCTAAGCATTTTACTGACTGGTCAGAGTGGACTGGGAATATCTTGCCGATACAATTTGTCCTGTACCCTTTCTTGCCCAGTTCTTTTTTTCCTCACATAACTTGTAGTTTCTTTTGCCCCTGAGGAAGAGAAAGGAAGGTATTCTGAACAACTGACTCTCTGAATACCTTTGTAAGTTCTTTCATCTCTGAATTCCATGAAAGTATGGAATTAAAAACCATGAAGGTGGTGTTTTTCCTCCAATCAGAGAGTCAACTGAAATCACTGTCATCAAAGTCTTTGAGTGAAGAATCATCTCCAGTACAGTCAGCCATATCCTTCTTTGAATTTTGCCCTGGCCTATCTCCTAGTTCTGTGTTCTCTCCTGTTTCCCATCAGGCTTCTTGAAGTGCTTCAGTATGTCCTATTGAGAGTTGTCATCTGTTCTTCTAGGGAGTTCCAAAGGGCTTGTGCCTTGGTCCTTGTCTCTTTTTGCCTCTGTTATTTCTGCATTCTGCAAATTATTTCTGTGTTCTAACTCTAAGGATGCAATTTCTTCTTATTCTTCACCTCATCTTGCTGTGTATCCAGTTTCCAGCTGCATGTTTCTGCTGTCTTCTTTTGCATCAGACCTAATAAACTAGCAACTGCATAATAGTTGGGATCAACTTCATGAATCAATGGAAGACTGAGCTTGCTTTAAATTTGCT